GGTAACAGGGGCATTCAGGGTGACTTTGCCCATTTGTTTCTGCCTGGTGCGGGAATCGAACCCGCGCCACAGACTTACATGCCTAACGAATCTATACAACTTTAATATTAAATTTACAAACGGGAGAGATAAATTTAGGATATTAATACCCAGCACCGTAATCTAATATCATAAAATACTGTATATCCATTTACGAACGCACGCACGCACGCACACACTCACTTTCACTCTCGTGTTCTCGTGAAGGGGTTGAATAATGACCGAAATAAAACTTCTAGCTTTATTTACAGCTAGAAGCTTTAGAGTTACAGCTATTAGTCTCCGGAGCGAGATTGGAGGTGGTGATTGTGGAGCTCAATACTGGAGACTTAACCCGCCGTGCAGTCCAGACACTGAGGGATGGTATGACCGCACACTTCTTCCTCGCGGCGGCCTTGGCTCCTAAAGCTCAGTCCTACAATCTTCTACAGTTAAAGGCACTACGGGCTCACCATAGCCCGTGCTACTTGGAACTTTGTTCCAGTCTGACAGTCTCCGTGGTGTAGTGGTAAGACACTCGCCTGGCGTTCCGCGAGCGCTATGTCATGGGTTCGTATCCTGGCCGGGGAGGATTTACTGGGCGCAATTCCTTAACTGTAGCCTCTGTTTAACACAACAGTAAAATGTGTACTTGGATGAAAAAACGATTCTTCGCGGCGGGGATCGTATTCCAGGGACCTGCCCGAAACGCTACGCGTACTAGTGGCTGTACAAGAATGTAACAACTCTTGTATAATATCTCAAAAAAAAAAAAAAAAAAAAAGGTAGCGAATCTTTAACAACAACATCTACAGTTAGTAAGGGTAATACTTGCGGAAACGCCCTCCCACAGTGTGTGTGTGTACTTACCTATTTGTGCTTGCGGGGGTTGAGCTTTGGCTCTTTGGTCCCGCCTCTCAACTGTCAATCAACTGGTGTACAGATTCCTGAGCCTACTGGGCTCTATCATATCTACATTTGAAACTGTGTATGGAGTCAGCCTCCACCACATCACTTCCTAGTGCATTCCATTTATTAACTACTCTGACACTGAAAAAGTTCTTTCTAACGTCCCTGTGGCTCATTTGGGTACTCAAGTTTCCACCTGTGTCCCCTTGTCAACCCGTTCTCGCAAATTCGTAAAGTCAATATTGACTTATTAACTACGTGCATAGGTGACATACTTAACATAATAGATACCCTTAAAAAGATTCATAGAAAACACCGACCTTACCTAACCTTGTTAGTATCTTAAGATAAGCATCTTATTGCTTCGTAATTACAATTATTACTTAACCTATACCTATTATAGGTTAGGTAATAATTGTAATTACGAAGCAATAAGATGCTTATCTTAAGATACTAACAAGGTTAGGTAAGGTCGGTGTTTTCTATGAATCTTTTTAAGGGTATCTATTATGTTAAGTATGTCACCTATGCACATATTTAATAAGTCAATATTGACTTATTAAATTTGCGAGAACGGGTTGCCCCTTGTTCGTGTTCCACCCGTGGTGGGTATGTGTGTGTGTGTGTGTGTGTGTGTGTGTGTGTGTGTATACTCACCTATTTGTACTCGCCTATCTGTGCCTGTAAGATCGAGCTCCAGCTTTTGGACCCCGCGCGCGTGTTTATTTTCATCTAGGTATCCAATATATTTCTGCCAACTTTTTTGAAAGTAAAAGCGTAAAAATTTGCTGGAGGACTGGCACTGACGTTGTATTGAGTCATAACCTAGAGACTCAGCGCCTTATCTTGGTAATTACTTGCTCAACACAGGCAATACGACGCTGCGACTCCCAGCAATCTTGAAAGTCTTGCAAGCAACACCCTCAAGAAAATGTAATTAAGAAATTCCTATAACGGCTAAGTTGGCCGGAGGAAGGAACTGGAGGTCATTAGTTGTATTCTCTCTCACTTTCTCTCTCTCTCTCTCTCTCTCTCTCTCTCTCTCTCGTACCTCTATCTGCTCCGTTTCCCTTTTATTTTACTATTCCCTTTTCTCTTTGTCCTCTAATATCTATATTTTTGTCTATCCAATTAATGTGAAAGCATACGTTGAAATTGTCGCTGCTTCCCGTGATCAAATATTATATTGTATATATTATATTTTCCTGGTTCACTTGTACCATGACTAATATTATCACATTTCCTGACCAACCAATTATTAGGCCTAGCTTCTAGAATTTTGTTTACATGCTCTGATAAGATGAATACATTCAAATGAATTTGTTAACGTTTAACGCGGCTTAAAACTGAAGGCACAAATTGAGCTACTAGACCCAGAAAAGTTTCAGATTGGAAGCCTGTGATTTAGCAACTATTTGCTAGGAAGGCTTATGACGCGGACACCATTTGCTAGGAGGGCTTATGACCTAGAAGCCCTTTGGTGGCTGTTAGCATCGAGAAAACACGTTGCTGTAGTTAGTAGTGACAGTAGCTAAAAGCCTTTTAAATGGACCAGATCGTCCTCATAAACAAAGGCCAAAGTCCATTCCATGCACCCGCCAAGCCCTGTTTATGAATGACAAATGGTTTACACACGACTCTCAACTGATGACGTCAGAACACTTCCGGAACAAGTGCTTCACTGACGATTTTTAGTTCGAACCACAACGCTGTAAATGTGGGGGTTAAATCTAATCTAATCACCCACGTACTACAAATACAAATAATCGCCAACAGAACCTAAACACCTAACCTAATCAATGCCTAAATATGCACAATATGCTTATATATAACAATATTAATTTATATTTGAGAAAATTCTTGTTTTGAATGAACAGCATGTTAAAATTGATGAGTGCGTCTTTGGGGCCGACCGCTGGATGGAATGGACCTGGTATGAGGACGGAACCTAACCCACACCTAACTATACATAGAACTTTAATTAATAATAACATTATGCAGGCGATGAGTCACAATAACGTGGCTGAAGTATGTTGACCAGACCACACACTAGAAATTGAAGGGACGACGACGTTTCGGTCCGTCCTGGACCATTCTCAAGTCGATTGTGAAACGTCGTCGTCCTTTCAATTTCTAGTGTGTGGTCTGGTCAAAAATAATAACATTAATTTATATACGAAAACAAACTTTTTGTTAATAAACAGTATGTTAAAGTTAATCAATACGTGTCTAGGGACGGCCGCGGCTTTAACGAGCCTGGCCAGAAGGCGGGATAGTCCTACTGGTCCACACGATAAAGATCAAATTTCCACCCAACCCGATTTCTCAACAAATTGTGAAACTTGCATCGGTTGTTACGTGTTCTAGTCTTTGATGCTTTCCCCTAATTTATATATATATCCCCAGTCAAGAAAGGCTAGACGAGGGAATGTTGTAATAATATTGGGTTAACGGCGCCCCTTTTTTTCAAAGTTGTTTCTATCAATAGCTCTTAACCTTTGATGTTCTCCTCCCCCCCCCCCCTAAGGTAGGGCCGACCACACCAGGGAGGAGGTTATCTTGAGATGATTTCGGGGCTTTAGTGTCCCCGCGGCCCGGTCCTCGACCAGGCCTCCACCCCCAGGAAGCAGCCCGTGACAGCTGACTAACACCCAGGTACCTATTTTACTGCTAGGTAACAGGGGCATAGGGTGAAAGAAACTCTGCCCATTGTTTCTCGCTGGCGCCTGGGATCGAACCCAGGACCACAGAATTACAAATCCAGCGTGCTGTCCGCTCGGCCGACCGGCTCCCCAGACCGGGGAGTGACGTGGCAGATTTTGTTGAAGGCAAATCATCAAAAAGACAAATTAAGTACAAGCACTTGAGTACAACTACTGTTTCGTCAAACTTGTATGTTATTTTTAACATTATATACATATTTCAATGTTTATTAACATTGTATATATAAAACATGCATGTGGCCATTTAAAACCTCCTCGTCTTTGGAACATCATTAAACAAAAAAGAAACAATACAGTTCTGTTCTTTTAAAGTACAGAATAAAAAAGCAATGTTACTACTCAACCATATACTTAAAAATAATTATACCATGTAATTGTCTAGATATAATTGTAATTAGATATGAAATATTTGCTTGCATACTATATACAGTACCAAGTTTGTACCCAAAAGATAATCTATTCTACTTCAACGAGTTATTGTAAGGGGTGCGAGAACATTCATTATGAGAACTAAGGAGCAGCGAGCTGCAGTAAAAGTTAATGCATTCAGATGGCTACCGCACACAATTCCTGTGATTTATTTTATAATAGTGTAAATTGCATAGTCATACTATTGCTCACAAAATGTGCCTAACGAGACATGACGTGTGACCAATGAATATGCAATCGTGTCGCTAATACGAATATGCTAATCATGTCGCTCGGATAAAAATAAATAGGTTTGCTTTGGGTATGTTCGTCAGTTCTATTTCCAGTAATAAGAATAGCTATTTATCTGAAGTCTTAAAAGCGAAGCCACGGTGCTTTCGGAACTGTATAGGTATAGCCTTACGAGGTCTTTTGACCGAATTCACAAGGTTAGGACCTTTACGTCATGTATGCAAATAGTGAAGCACTTCATGGGGAAAATATGGAGGCGCCACCATTGGTGAGAAGCATGAACCAAATCAAGAACTATTAATTTCTCCACGGTCCCGACAGATAATTTACGGGCTATTCATGCCCGTGCCACCTTTTGGGTGGCTTCTTTACCGATCACCAGATAAATAATCCCCAATATGAAATCCCGCGTGATAACACCAACATTCAGGATATTCTTTCTTTATGACACCATATATATTCATCGTGATAGTGGAAACCATCACATTGCAAGATGATAATGATAAAACAATTAACACATACTAGCAATGTTAATTACGCTCCCTAGGCTACAACTACAAGAACACAGACTCATTGATACACGATTTTATATTTCTCCCGCCTCTACATAGTAGGGAAAAGACCTGATACTGTGTGAATTATCTACGAGAATCCAACTGGAGACAGCGTTAAGGAAGACCTGGTACTCACGGTTTAGCGGGCGTAGCAAGAAGACTCCAGTATTAGGAAAGGTGGGCGTGTGAAAGGGTGACTACCCCTTCTCACGGGCGGGCCGCCAACTCAACATCGCTGCCCCACACGCCCACGATCACCCGCCCACATGGTCGCCTATACAGTGGGTGGGTGTGGCGGCGATGGTGGTGGCCACAGGTGCATCATACAGAGGGTGGCCGCAGGGGAGGGTCCAGTGCTGTAGGGCGTGCCAAGGGCTGCTGCTACTGCAGGCACACTATATGTCGTCAGGACACTGGGGGCCCCGCCGGCGCCGCCCTCACAAGTGGCCTTAAATATAACACGGCCAACAGGCCAAAAACACGGGCCACTTGGGGCACCACTTAAATTACGAGAGGCTGACCACCCGGCCGACCACTGTGCCTGGACAACCACTACCACGGGTACTGCCACTACTGAGTACACAGCTTAGAGGGCGGGAGCGCCACACACAGCCTCCTGCCCACCCATTCCTTGCTCACCACAACCCAGACTGGTGCTGTGCGCCGCTCTCCTCCACGCAAACCCTTGCCAAAATTATCAGGCCATCAAGTGTAAAAATAACCCCGGTTGGACAGGCGGCAGCTGTGGCTCACACACACACACTCCTGCCTCCCCCAACCTGCGCGACTGCTGCCCTGCTCGCTACAGCGGCTCCTGCTGCAGCTGGGATATGCTGGCTGCTGGTGAAGGTTGCTGCAGATCCCCGACACCACCACACACACTGGTGACCTCACCCCTACACCCACACCCGCCCTCACACTACACACCCGGCCGCTCTCTGGCAACACTCCTCCGCCCTTACAACTGCCTCCATAAATACAGCCACCGATTTAAAAGCGTGCACCTATATATATATACTGACGAATGCTCTCTTTCGTGAACTAACGAAGGAAAGTTTCTTTTATTGCCGGCTTCGAAATAATCGCAGTTTGCATTCTTTCCCCTAGAAAAAGAATTTGGCATCTCTCCTGCCTGGCCTACGAGAGGCCAATGCACAAATTGTTTAGGTACGGGGAAGTGCGTGGCTCCTTAAATATAGGGAGTAACACAGGTTATCTTTACACTCTCCTGCTCTGTAATAACACAAGCATGTCTGCGATACGTGACGTTCAGGGCAAATATAAATCCTGGGGGAATAAATCCCTTACTGGAAAACATCTGAGAACAGACAACGTTGCTGATTAGTAAATATTGAGTCATTTATAGAAGGCAGCGAATGTCTCTCTCTCTGTCTGTCTTGGCCTTCTCCTCAGGTGACGTAAGCACCTGGAGATTACCTAGGCGGCTGGAAGACGGCAGTGTGTCTGTGTGTGTGTAGGGAGGGTTCTTTGGTGCTGGTGAAGGAGGTAAAGCGAGCAGTTGAGGTAACTGGAGCGGCTCCTCCTCCTCCACCCTGACACCGGAGATGCCTGCTGACGCCACGAATACTCTGCCCTCTGGTGGCACCCCGAGGCACTCTCTTGCCTCCGTAACCCCCCTACCCCTCCACCCCCCACCAATTCCGAGGCACTGGCCATATATATACTCGTTAATATGTCAGTATACGGTGGACGAGAGTCGTTAATCGTCACTATACGTCGGTCCGCCCTCGTTAACCCGTTGAGTTAACTATACGATTATCCAAACACTTAAACTGTTAAGTTATTTGTTCTTTATTAAAGCGTTCTCGCTTATAGCAGTTTATTAAGTGTAACTGTGAGTCGTTTTCTGGGAAAAGTCAGTCATTGAAACATATACATGGGACCTCGATATATATACTGTATATAGTTTCTCAATGTCTGTTATATATACCTCTGTACCTTTTTTTCCACTACCACGTAGAGCAAGATAAACTAAATTAAAGCTAAACTAAAAACCACAGTCGAGGGACAAAGCATGAACCGAGGTTCTCGCTCTGCCAACTACTGACCTTTAATTAATTCCTCCAGGTACAACCAACAAAGATTGACTAACTCCCAGGCACCATTATTTGCTGCGAGGTGAATAGAGAACATTAGGTCAAAGGAAACGTGCATAATTGAGCATCTTTCCCCCCTGCGATTTGCATGTAATCAAGTCGGATATTTTAGTTACGATGTCCGTAGAATTATTTAGCAGTTTTAAACTGCTTCGTGACGTTCTTATAAATAAATAAATAAATAAATAAATAAATAAATAAATAAATAAATAAATGTTTATTTAGGTAAGGTACATACATACAAGAGATTTTTACAAAGATCTTCGTAGCTAGAGTTTTGACACACTGTACTCCCCTTCATATAGTCTAGGGCAGCTGCACAAATGCAGATGTACTTAAATGTGTTAATAAAAAGCAAATCATTATATAATTTTCCTGAGAGAGAGAGGAGGAAGGTATCACTAATCCCTTATCCATAAGGGATAAGTGGGATACCCCCCTCTAGTTAATTATAATTAAATGTTGGACATAATTATTTAATTATGATTAAATGTTAATCATACGCTCGGCCATATACAGTACATCAGTATTCATATAAAATACTGTATATTTTTTTAGTGGGCCTACAAATATGACATGTATTCGATAATCGTCTACAAACATGACATATATGCAATAATCGTCTACAAATCTGACATATATTCGATAATCGTCTATAGACAAGACAAATATGTAAAATCGGTCATCAAGACATACTCCATGCTAGCCATCAACACATACTTTATAACAGCCATCAACACATACTCTATAACAGCCATCAACACATACTTTATAACAGCCATCAACACATACTCTATAACAGCCATCAACACATACTCTATAACACCCTATCAACTGATAAATTAGTTACACATATTTTAGGTAAGTATTGTATCAACAATGCGTTTGAGAAGGAACAATGAGGTACTACCATAAATTTGAACCAAATATCTAATTTGCTAACTGTAAGTTGAGTGTTGATGATTGTAAACTTTCCAGCGCTGCCCATTGGATGAGTGTTGGGAGGGGGGGGGGGTGCATGATGAGTAGATCTGTTTAAATGGCTCACCACAGATGTAAATGACTCAGTTTAGACTGATTGATTGTTAAAGATTAAGCCACCTAAGAGGTGGCACGGGCATGAATAGCCCGTACGCAGTTTAGACTTATGGACCAGTTCTTGAACCAATTGTGGTGTAAAAGACTTTTGATATATACATTAACTGTGTAACTATGCGTTATGTTGATATTGTCTTAGCTTTTTAACACCTGACTGCACCGGAGTTTTGGGGTAATAAAAATAGCCTAAGCTACTCTATCCTTTTGAGATGTATTTTTTTGTCTCAATAAACGAACTTGAACTTGAACCAGAGTTAAATTTCGCCTTCTCTGAGGCTGGAAGGGAAATTCGCTAATGTTTCTTCATTTGGTGACCTTTGACTTCACGTAGTGATATTTTGAACTCGCAGTTTGAAGTTTGATCTCTTAACTTAATTTGCAGTGACCTCTCACTATATATATATGAGATGACTGACATTGTATGTTGACCTCTGAGAAGGAAATATCATGACCTCTGACCTTACGGGTGTTTGGTAAGGCTTGGTCAACTTGCTGTCAAGATTGCTTGTCTGACGGCCACGTATACAAGACATTTTCCACAATAATTGTCGCTTTATTTATGTTTAATTTTAGGGTTTTAGTGCATTAATGAATAACAATTTGTATTTGACATGACAGGCATGTTTCACTCACAATTCTAAGCTCAGTACAGACTTTATAATAAACATATTGTTGGAATTATTTCATCATACGTCAATATCCTCCTTCCCGCTTTCTCTCTAGTGACCTTTGACACTTTTTCCATCGACTTTCTCTTGAGGAATATCATATACTTTCTATATCTTATTTGTTGAACTTGCCGATTTGATACTAATTATTTGTATGATCCGTGAAAGAGTTAACCTTAAGAGCTATATATGCATTTATCTTCAGAACGGACAGTTGTCCCATGCACTCTAGACATGACGTAGGTGCAAATTAATTACTAAAGCGTCCATCAGTGATATCAGAATTAGTAGGAATATCAACATATGTATCAGATGACTGATGATATATCCCGAATTTCACAATAATAGACAATCGTAAATTATGCGAAAAAAACTATATATACCACATCAATATGCCTCCAAAAAGCTATCTAATTAGGACTAGGCCATGCGTCTAGCATAAGATACCATGAAGATTTTTTAAGATTTCATTCACTAAAAAATATTTAAAAAAATCCTCATAGTCGATCCGAAGATTTAATCACCGTTGTTAGTACTCGACTCACATATCCCACATGTATAACGCACCACAAAGAGATATAGAATTTAAGCAAAAACAATGCTATAAACAGTTATTTACTAACAATAAATACTTGTACTATTCCAGCTCTGTTTGGGAATCACAGGCGCAAATTTGTACACTCCAATGAAGTCGGCAATTATTAAAATATTTATGCTATTTGAAAGGTATTGTGTACAGAGATACAATGCCAGATTAAAAAAATCAAGACTAGGTTAGAATGTTGCGATATTTTGAGAATCATTAATTAGCTCTAGCTTAATGGAACCCATAAATGGGTGTTAATTCTATAGGCAGCTGATGGGACTCTTCGGCGCCGTACTCATCTAGTTGTGCTTGCGGGGATTGAGCTTCGGCTCTTTGGTCCCGCCTCTCAACTGTCAATCAACTGGTGTGCAGGTTGTAGATATGATAAGAGCCTACTAGGCTCTATCATATCTACATTTGAAACTGTGTATGGAGTCAGCCTCCACCACATCACTGCCTAATGCATTCCATCTGTTAACTACTCTGACACTGAAAAAAATCTTTCTAATGTCTGTGTGGCTCATTTGGGTACTCAGTTTCCACCTGTGTCCCCTTGTTCGCGTTCCACCCGTGCTAAATAGTTTGTCTTTGTCTACCCTGTTAATTCCCTTTAGATTTTTTTTAGGTGATCATGTCTCCCCTTACTCTGCCTTACTGTGTGTATATATACAATGCATATTTATATATATAATATATATATTATATATATATTTATTATTTATATATATCTTTTGGAAGCTGGCCGAAACAGCAGTTGACAACCTTAAGGTAATTTTTTTTTGTCCCCCAATGCAACTAGTAAGTGTGTCGGACCGTCAAATCTTCAACACTAGAATGAGGCTGATATGTCTGGGAAAAATTTTAAGACGTTTCCCTACAGAACACAGAACATGGAACAGTATATTACAGGATGTGAATCAGTTGACGAAAGTGATTCAAAATAAAACAAATTAAACTTTAATTGCTCTTTTACTGTATAAAGGCCGTTGCATATATAAATTATTCCATAATTAAAATTTTGTAATGGCATTCATGATTATTGGCTGAAATCATTATTTGCATTACACTTGTGTATAGTTAAGTGGCACACTTATTTCATCCAAATCTTTGATTAATTACTTACATGTAAATGTGCAATTGTAGTTCATTCATTACTCTGCACTTAATAAAAGTTACAGCATTCTCAGTACAAGTACAGCAATTGCTTAATTATTATCTGATGCAACAAATATAAATACTGTACTATAGGTTTTTCACCTCGCCATAGTATCAGTATTTAATTTTTTTCAGATAATATAGTCGTCCAAATATTACAGTACAGTATATTTATACTAGTATAGTTTACTGTACTCTACCTTTTCTCTGTAATTTTACTTTTGAGTATATTCCTCTAATATAACACATCTTCCTTGGAATACGTGCAATGTCTACTCGTCTCACAAGTGTTTGTAGAGTTAATATATTAATAATAATATCCCATAAATGTTTGTTATTAATAACTGTGATCATTAAGTTCATCTCAAAGACACTTCTTGACATACTGCATATATTAATTGGTTCATCTATGCCAATTTATTGTATATTGTACATACATACATCATTTACAAGGTAATCTTTCTATACCATTGCTTATGTACAACTTGCAGCATACATATACAATCTTAACTTTTACATACCTTATGTACTAATCTCACAGTAGTGTAAAATTAATCAAATGAATATACAACACACACACACACTTAATATATGATAGATTTACCATTTCAGAAAGTTTGTTTTCAACATGCAAGCTCTGAAAGCATTTTGAATAAGCTATCTTGATTATCAGTAATATACAATAATTTGCTTCATTTTTCTGCATCACTGATAACTATCTTTGTAATGCTGTAAAGAGACTTTGCTGAAGCTTTGATTATTATTTGACTTCATGTTATAGTACTCTACAGTATATGCACATATTCTACATACACACACACACAGTACATGTTAGAGATGTTATCAAAATATTACAAGACTAAATGCATCCTCAATGTATGAACATATTTCACTAATAAGGTGAAAGGCTTTGCAGTACTGTACTGTATTTGAATACATGCCAGGTGACTCCTCGCAAAAAGGTATCACATCAACTCTCTCTCTACTTCTCTCAATGTTGTAAAGTACCTGCAAGAAAGTATTTCATGCAATTATCAATGAAGCTGTCTTCATATTGCTTCTCAAAGGCATTACAAAACAGTTGCATATATTTAAAAGTTGGCCTAGTGGAATAAATTCAGATTCACCAAGCCTCCCATCATTATGAAATGCTCCAAGTGCCACATTAATTGTTATTCAATGTGCTATAGTTTAGATAATGCCATCAGTTTAGGCACATTTCCTCACACTCTTGTCCTAGCAGCATATAGGTTCTGTACTTGAGTTAGTCAACAATTATGGAAAAACCATTATTTCAAGAGGCTATACAGTATTGTATATGTAATAAATTATAATAAGAAAATTCTTGTAAAGAGATACTGTAGTAAAATTGTAACAAATATTTTAAATATCTTTAACAATGTACATCTAAGGAAACTAGACGACTTCCAGTTTCAAGGATAGAGATTATTGCCGACACTTGGAGAAGAAAATACTGTGCACGATACAATACATTCAATAAAACAATACAATGCTTGGTTTAAAATTGTCTATACAGTATCTTGAGGTTATCTTGAGATGATTTCGGGGCTTAGCGTCCCTGCGGCCCGGTCCTCGACCAGGCCTCCTTTTTGTTACAAACACCCCAAGGAAGTAGCCCGTAGCAGCTGTCTAACTCCCAGGTACCTATTAGTATAGTATACCTAGGTCATAAAAGTATTTGTGTACGTCTGGTACCATACTACTTGTGTAAAGGAGGAAATGTAGATGTTTATCTCTCAGAATGTTTGGTAATATGTTTATTGTTTGTGATGTGTGTATATATGTATGTATTAACACGATGTACTGAACGGGGTGAGAATAGCTTGAGCTACCTCATCCCTTTGTGTGTATTTTACCTCAATAAACTTATTTCAATTTCAATTTCAAAATGCCTGGTTTGGTGTTGAGATCAAGGCCTATCAATTGCTTGAAGGCTATTAAGGTGTTACACTAGCTTACTTACTAAGCAAGTTACATTTTTGTCCTGAACACAGTTCACAACTAAAGTTAACTCAGTGTATATGCACCGAGACAGGGAAAATGCCTCTCATTGTGCACATCCCTGCACGATGTTGTCAGATGCAAACGTTGAGGAGAGTGAGAAAATGTTTGTAAAGAAAATGTGTGGAATTTTTCTTAAAGGCTACAGGCTAAAAACAACTATGTAGAAGAGGTAACGTTTACTTAACAAAATGTAAGTACGTATTGTACAGATATTTATATGTGTGCAAAACACCAAAATTTATGCTAATATCTACAATATGATAATGAGAAACATAAAACTGAATACTAATACACAAACTAAGTAATAATTATATAATTACGTAAGAAATTGAATATAGTGGATATCATTAGGATAAATTATACAGGTTTACCAAAACAAATTCTTACATAAACAGTAACCAAACTAATAACAAATATGCATTACAAAAATGTAGGAATTAAAGATAAACAATGACTAGAAAGAATAATTATCAGTGAGAAAACAGCATTAATCCTTTTTTAAGCTGTCAGATACAAATTAAATTAGGCTTCACGCTTAAAGAGGTACTACATTGAAGGCATTAAGGTATTCTATGTTAATACAGAAATGAAGTGTTTCCCAGGCTTGCACCAAATATATACCAACCTTTATGAAAATGCTCACAAGAAAAGATTAATCGTGTTCTACTACTTTACAAAGCTTATAATTTTGTTCAGATTATGATGATTATTCTTACTGAAAGGAAAATTATTACCACAGCACAAAGCCATAGACAGCTCATACACACACACACGCCATTACGCAAGAAAATAGATCAAACCAAGACGGTTGATTTTTTTAAGTAGTTTTCTTTATACTGAATAAACTTCCATGACATTTTCAGATACAGTACTGAAGATGGCACTCCGGATTAAATAAATGTGCATTTATGTAAATATAGATGTTAAATACGCACCTTACACACCGATTCAATATATAAACAAAAGAAGGTGAGTGCATGTTGAATAACATATATATAACTGAAAAACTCACACCCCAGAAGTGACTCTGGGGTGTTTCATATAGTCCTGGGGACCATTCAGGCTTGTTCGCAACATATATATACCAGTATATACTAACCGTGATTTTTATCCTTAACTGTAAACATAATAATATCTTATAAATAGGAAAGAAACATTTATTGTTTTTAATTCAATGTAGTATTCTTAAATCAGTAGTATGGCAAATAATCACAAATTTTCTATAATTAGAAAAATTACAGTAAATAGACTGCAAGACAAGTACTGAACTGTATTTGCCTATTATGCAAAAATGGGAGAGCAATCAGAAGATATTTGTTTGATTCATTAACAAATATATTTAAGGAATATATATGGTGCCATATTGAAAATTAACTTGTGCTGTGGTAATTATTACACAATTTCATTAAATAACTGTATACGCAGGCGATGAGTCACAATAACGTGGCTGAAGTATGTTGACCAGACCACACACTAGAAATTGAAGGGACGACGACGTTTCGGTCCGTCCTGGACCATTCTCAAGTCGATTGTGTATACCTTTGTGAATAAAATTATAATGCTTGTTTACCTAAACAATTTACAAGTTCACTAACTATAAGCAGACAAGAACCTTTACACATACTGTATTTATTATCAACAAACAAACAATGAAGTATTATCCTGTGCAGTATGTCTTTTTAAATAAGAGGCAGCAAACTTGCATTATAATTTCTCTAAACAAACAAAATTAATTTGAATTTGGTTCACTCAATTAGTAAGGAGCCAGGGCATCCACCATAAAACTTTTGAAAACCCATCAGAAAGCATGGTCCCAACAAAACAAGCAATGGCTTGAGGGAAATTAGGCACCCATAGGTAATCAGTGCAATCACTGTCGTGAGCTAAATTACCTGACTGACGTGCCGGACCTGCTGTTAGATGGCATCGCAGGTCACCTGAGATCTCCTCTAGCCTGTCGCCTTACTCTGGAGCTACCTATGTAAAACCCAAGAACTCCTATGGATAGGGAAATTACTGTGGACCCACCCAAAAAGGCAATTTCATTACTCTCATTACTCTTAATATTTGATTTCTGTGTGGGACCCCTCAGTGGCTCCCCAAGCTTATTCACAATGTCACCCTGATATTTACTGACAGCCTTCCATTACTGACAGAATTGGGTGACTGGATTGACCCATGGGAGAAGAATATGGGACAGGAAAAACACAGGCGAGAAATAGTGCCCCCAACCCCAACAGTATGAGGAGTGCACAAAGACACTGTGACCACAGTGTCTTGGTGTGTCCTGTGCACTTTAGTCACAGGACAGCACACAACTGACCCAGGTTTGAGATCAAAGAAATCCCAAGAAAGTTGAAGAAAGCACCCCTCCCCCATTATCCCAAATACCAGTGAGAGAGGCTCTGCTTACTCAAAAACAATAAGGCAACAGTATAGGCAGTGACCAACAAAGCCAGAAGAGTTAGAACAAAAAACAACAACAATGGAACGACAAAGAAGAAACAATACAACGTGGCACCAAAGCGCCTGGCATCTGGCCTCGACACAGGAGATGGTACATGGAGCAAAAAACCCCAGACATGGAAAATGTTGAACAGCTGCGAACAAACAAGGTTGGACCAGGTGCTGAACTTCAGTGATAAGAGGAGCTTTGGGAAGGAAAGGGGTTGGGACATCAGGAGAGAAAGATCAGAAACTAGGGCAGAATTGGCTGCACACCAGTGTCTGTAGAAGCATGGAGTCCTAAATGGCTCCAAGTACAACATGAGAAGCAGCAGCTTAATGGGGAGGGGAAGGGGAAAAAGAGCACCTACCTTCCCCAGGCTCGGCCAAATGCACCCTCCATGCAATCCAAATATGGCACCCCATAGACTGGAAGCCACTAAGTTCCACCCACAGATGGCTGAACAACCTACAAAAGACAGAGGAGAGAGGCCCTGTCCATTTCCCATGCTGGTGTAACAGACAAGATGTAAAGAGAGAGACTATGAGAACAGTTGACACACCCAGAAAGGGAAGAGCTCTAAGGACTAAAGACCAAGAATCTAAAGGAAGGATACCTTCCTAGACCATCCCCACAGTGAAATGAACTAAACCATCCACCAAAGGAGGTATAGTATTGGAGAAATGGGCATAAATCTAAGGAGAATGGACAGCAAAGCATTGCACGAGATGAACTCACTGAAGCACGACCATCACACCCGTACCTGAAAGAGCTGACAACACAGGCAACACTGCTTTAGCTATGCCATTCGCCTGGGCTCTAGGAGACTCAAACAGTGGACCCCACACATGTCAGGCCGAAGCTCTATCGACCGAGGTATTGAGTAGCCCGCTCAGGACAATCTCATGATAGCAGGAAATTCATACCACTTGGAAAATGGTGCAGAAAATATATTCCCAGAAGGCACAATATCCAGGAGCAACACCAAATCAACATCATCAATGTTGAATTAATGTTGATAATGTTAATTCAATGTCAAACCAATGCCACACTTGGATATTGTGCCCAATGACTTACTACTGTTCTTACAAACTATCTTTCTCAAAATTAAAAATAAAACTGAGTATTAGGAAAGATGATTTTCTACAATATACAATGTTACAATTTAAAGAAAATATAATTTTGTATTATATTTGATCTTCAGTCAAGAGATTTAAACAAGGGATTATCTAAAAAGAGAAAGCAAACCCCATAGGGTTTTCTTAACCTAAGTAAGGAAAAAACAAACATTCTTTCCTGGGATTTCCATTAACTAGGTGATACCAAGCTTCATAAAAAAATATTTCAGGCCAAGGTACAATACATTATCAATGTGCATAGTATTCGTGCCGACTTCAGAGTCCAAGAGCTGTCAAACTACATTTAAATAACTTCAGCTTCATATTGAAAGTAAAGATCCAATGCAAAAATATTTAACCACGAAGACAAAAATTAAAGCAGAACGGACTTGAGCGCTTTTGTGTTTAGTCAGTACTTTTGATGATGTGTTCAACACAAAAACGTTCAAGTCCATTCTGCTCTCATTTTTTCCTACATGGTTAAATATTTTCACATGTTAATTTCTTTGTGGTTTACACACAAATATCCTATATAAATGGATACTGTACTTTCATATCAATTCATTAATTATACCCCAAAACTGTTTGCACATACTGTACTCTATTTACACTCAAACTCAAAATAACTGAAATGTTGAAGCTGAAATACAAAACAAATGTCTTGTCACATAGCCATAGTGTTAAGAAGCTGCAACATAACGAACACAATATACTTTACACCAAACCACACCTCATAATATTTTCTTGCTAAATTAATAAATCAGATTAAATAATAATACCAAGTCCCAGTCTTGTGTCACCAAATAACAGACAGGATTAGTAGAGTAATTGAAAAGAACAAAACTAGATGGTAATAGTAGCAGATTATTATGTAATAACGCCTATGCTTTAGGATTCATATATACAAAAAAGGTATTTTTGACTAGGTTCAGAGATAACCAATTCACATATTACCAAAAGTAATATATTTTATACTTAGCCTTTAATTTTCACTCTTTGGTTTAAAAGACTATGTTACCTAAATAGAGCATTGTCAAGCTGGATTTTGGGATAATAAAGCATAATAATAAAAAAATAATAAAAAGTTGCAGATGAGGAGTCTCAATAATGCGGCAGAAATAGTTATTAACAAGTGTATAACAAAAAGTTATTAACTTACAAAACAATATAGCTGTCACTGTTCAAACTGCAGGACTACCATCAACTGATGCTTTAATTGAGTACAGTGAGAACACATGAACACATTTTATGCAACTTATCTAACATTGATTCACAAGCACAATCAGGATTTGTAACATTAAACCATGCACAGTTACTTATTACAATCAAATTTGTGATAAATGTCATTTAAAATTAAATTACAAAGCTGTAATTTAAGAGGTAGAAATAACACAAGGTGATGATGGCAAAAATGATATTGAACCTACTCCATCCAGAAAACTGGGTCAATGTTTACCCTCATCACTCGCACCCGACACAGAGTGCGTGCTCGGCAACAAAGTGGCAGTACCAGTTTCTCTACTTCCATTTTCACCATTCTCATATTTCATCATTACATCTGGTATTAGTACTCTGCTGCCAAAATTTGGTACTGTATTTTGATGGTTAAGTCTAAAAGATGAACCAGCTTGGGAACTGTCCAAACTGACCACCTTCACTGTTCTTTTACCACTGTACCTCCTACTGGAGCTTTCCCTGATGGATGTGTTAGTACCCTCGTCACCTGGCACGTCGTCTACCTCTTGCTGCGGTTTTCTTGAGACTCGGATGAAAGGAGAGAATGCAGCCAGGTAGAGCCGAGTGTCATAAGAGAACATGACACCCAAAGCCACATTAAATGCCGACGCATCATAGTGGTGGCAGCCAGAGTAGCGGAATAATGGCTTTTTGTCATACCTGGACATCAAAGAACTCGTGAGTATTTTCGCAAAATATCATTAATATCAGCAAAAATATATCTTTTAAAATACAGTAGTATATTTTATTTGTCTATCATCATTGTCTCCTCCCTTTAAAGTTGGTTAAACAATTTGCATACATAAGGATAAAAGTATAGATATTATCCTACATGCTAGATAGTGTTTCCCCATCACTCACTAGTGATATGAATCAATATGGTGAATGGTTATACATAGACCATACCTCCATCTGCTCTTGCATACTTTCCCACAAAACCTTGCTCTACCATTCTCATAACACACATATATAACCTAAGCCACACACATGAAATGAAACGAATGCAACAATGTTTCAGTCCATCCAGGACAGACCGAAGCATCATCACATTTATTTATATTGGTGTGAGTTGGATTGTTTGTTTCAGCCAAGTTATTGTAGCATTCTCTGCACTTCATATATTCATTACCATTCCCTACTTTCATGGGATGGGGACACATCCACCCCGAGAGAAAAGATGAGTAATATAGTAAAATAAAATAAAAATTTATGTTAAATAATAAGACGATAAAAATATCACTTGTTCGCTTATGATATCATTCACAATGCAGCCGAATTTATAGCATCATGGATAAACAAATAATTATCAAAGAAGGCACCGAGCTAGGAAGATTAAGTAGCACCACCCAAGTCACAAGATATTCAAAAAGGCGTTACGTATCATTCAAGATGCCAATAAAAGAACAGGGGGACCAGTTATGGTGAACCAGTTAACACTGGTGGTTCATCTACCCTCGGTGATGGGCAGGTGAACCACCAGAACTATATCTTTTCTTATTTACTTAATACTGTACGTGTATTTGTCTTAGTGCATTTATTTTAAATGCTGGGGAAAACAAAAGTTGATTATTTTCTTACCTACAACCAGTATCCTGGGCACCAATAGGGCTAATACAGTTGTGTGTGAGTGCGCACGACACCCAGGGCTTCATCAGGTACTGGTGGACCGCTACTGTGTTGTACACCATCAGTGTTCCTGCATCTCCCATCTAATGACCAAAAAATACTTGAATATCATATGTACAAATAATAAAGTCAAACTCTATTCCTAAATTTGCAGAGGAAAAAAAAGTGTTTTAAACTTTACCCCCCTTAATTATGCATTTAATTTTCAAATTTTACTTTCAATCTTTCAAATCTTGACATTTTTGACGTATCATATCTCTTCACCAGTTCTATTTTACTCTTCCGAGGACATGACCTTGCTGTACAGGAATTTTGTGTTCTTGGACTCAATTTTGGTTACGTCGTCAGAAATTTAATATCCATTGCTGCAGCTTCCCTTCCTTGTAACTCATAATTCTTAACTACTAGTGTTGCTTTGCTGAATGTCTGTTGACTTTTCTATTGTGCCTGTATGTTGCTATAGAGACATGCAGCATACCAAAGCTGAATTAGGCTCGCACAAAAAAGTTCTAAGGTAATTATCGGGAGAGAGTGCTAAGCCAGTACGACTATATAGCACATGGAAGGGATACAAGGGATAACAGGAAAGGGAAATATGTATTTATTCATCTATATATAGTACTGTGAACTTTAAATTTGTATAGTTAAAATAATGAAACTTTGAACCTACACAATTTTGTTTAACACCAAAATTTAAAAGTATAAGGGGAGTATAATATAGACATAGCTAGTTGATGGGGGTCTGAGAGTTCTTCTACTCCCCAAGCCCGGCTCCAAGGCCAAGCTTGACTTGTGAGTTTGGTCCACCAGGTTGTTGCTTGGAGCGGCCCTGCAAGCCCACCTATATCCCAGGCCCACTGTATGTCCCACAGGACATACAGTGAGAGTTTGAACACGGCTCATAGTCTTTGAGAGATTTTTGTATGTTTTCATGTGGTGGAAGCTCAGTTCAGTTATGTACCCAAAACAATGTTTTGCCCTCATGACTCCTCACAACTGTCATGTTTTATTCCCTTATTGCATAACATTCCTGCATCATAACATCTTGCAAGTATTCTGCAGCTCCCACCAAGTCTTAAGATTACCTTAATGGTTATTTGTTGAGAAAAGAAGAAACAGAAGCAGGCTTCAGAAGTTTTTTTTGGAACACATTTACATTTTTCTGATATATATATATAGTACACACTGTACACTGTAAACCAGTTTGATTTGTGTAAATCCAATTTGCACGAGGTTTACCAGAAATATAACCCTCAAGTAAATTGAGGGTTTACTATACTTTAAAAGATGTGCTGTACTAAATTTGACAACACTGTGAAGGTAATAACATATACAAAATTATACATTACCTGCTGAAAGTCATAATTGTGCTTCTTTGTGTGAAAAAAAGTGAACATGTTAGGGTGGGTGAGAGCTGCTGAGGGCAGAAGAGCTGGATTGGGCAGCGGCCAAGTCAACACCCCGCCACTTTTTAAAGCCATTTCACTCCAGTCCAGTGTTTTGTCACTATTTTGAGTTTCGTCTGCTAATCTGACACTTGCATCCAGCCACAACACAGCTCCAGTTCGCATAAGCAACTCCTGTACAAGGAAACGTAAATTTAACCATCCACAATCATGCCAAAAAAATAGTTCATTGACAAAACAGCAACAACATAAATATCATAAATATTAGGTCTCAAGTTTATGAAAATTAATTTTCTGAGCAGATCATCTGCCACTTTAAGAGCTGCAGTGTTATTGCTAAGGATTTTACACAGCCATACAGGATGACACATGGCACCTGTGCCACAACAGTCTTTTCTAACTGCTCCACCAGGGCCATATAAGGTGCTAGGGGTCTCACTGGAGAATGTATCAGCTCAGTTAATAATGGCAAATAGAAAATACTTCCTGCTTGACATCACAGGGGTGACTGCCACAGTCATGGTTGCAAAATAATAACAGACAAAATGTCTCCAATTTCACCAAAGTGTTATCTGGAGGGTAACAGAATGATCCAAACCAACATCACAAAAGTGAAGGAATGGGTGATTGTGCCCTGTGTGCAACCTTAAATACCTACAACGCTGGACAACACACCAGACGACCAAATAAAATGGAATTGCTGAGAGTTGAGGCACTGCTGTGCACACCGACAGCGAGCTAAAATCACAGGTCAAATGATTCAAGGTCACATACTGGTTAGAAGTTTCAGAGACATGCCAAGACTGGTAGCCGCACACATGTGAAGCGGAAGACATATACACTGTTATTAAGAATATAAAACATGTGCATATGACACCACAGCACATAAACATATTTCTGAATGATAAACAAGTACAGCTTTACTGAGCATTGAGGCTAGCCTGCCAACATGTCTCAACACTAGCCAGAGAGTAGGAGAGCTTATTCAAGTCAGTAAACTCTGTGGTGTGTGCAGAGTGACATCTGCACTTAGCAGTCAATGGGTTGAAACAAGTAGTGCAGCAGGTAGTTATCTTCTTCTTGAGATCTTGAGGTTATCTTGAGATGATTTTGGGGCTTTTTTTAGTGTCCCCGCGGCCCGGTCCTCGACCAGGCCTCCACCCCCCAGGAAGCATTCCGTGACAGCTGACTAACACCCAGGTACCTATTTTACTACTAGGTAACAGGGACATAGGGTGAAAGAAACTCTGCCCATTGTTTCTCGCCAGCGCCCGGGACCACAGGATCACAAGTCCAGTGTGCTGTCCGCTCGGCCGACCGGCTCCCCGGACGTAGTTAGTGACAACTATCATGTGGCCATCAACTGTGATCACAAGCGAAAGGTAGAAGGGCTTCAATTTTTTGTGGGGTAAGACTTATGTCAGCCAGGAAGAATAAATAAATGTACTACAGTGACTCCCCAAGTTCAATATAACCAGCAGGGATGCTTTCAAATATCCTACAGTGCCAAACTGTACATCACCCTTCTTGACTAAATGATCCAGTCCAAGAACACAGTGGCATCTCTCGTTTGCGTGTAAAAGCTCAGAAAACAGTGACAAAAATATGATAATATATAATAGCACAAAAAATATGTGGCCTGCAATGCAACTATTTGAACAAGAAATAGTGTTGTACATCATCTAGAACAATGGGGAGAGTAGCATGTTTGGAAAAAAATATTATTTATTTGTAGCTGTAATTCATAGGAGCTACTGTTATTCCAAGATATAAACACCCCTTAGCAAGGAAACAAAAATATCACCAGGGAGATGCACTTCCTGATCAATAGATTTATTTGAATGACTGAAATATAAATCCATTTTTGGGGGGAAAAGTTTAGGGTTGATCAAACATCGTAAACATAGATGCCTAAAATTTCAGCATTTTAAATGTGATTACAACAAGGGGAACATACCTGTATGATAATGGGACGGTAAGCTTTAAGACGCAAATCCCTGATGTGGGAAGGGTAGGCATTGAAGTCAAAAGTCATCACTACACATGACGTATTACACGTATCCTCCAACTGGAAGTAATATTTTCACATTCGGGTCAAGAGAATCATAGCAAAATGAACACACAAAATATTATTTGGTCTGGCACAACATAATAATATACAGTACAATATGTATTTCGCTTTTAATGCACTGGCTGATACAGTAGGTGCTATATTTATTATTTGTACATTGTATTTACCTGTTGGAGCTCAAGTGTGGAGAGATCGAGACTGTAAACCACAACAGTCAAGTTGGGCAATATTTGTTGTGCAAGTCCCAGCAGACCTTCCACCTGCCACACTTGCTCAGTGGATACCTGTCCATGAGAAATGTTGCGATTTACCATTTAAAAATCTTTGGGATATGGAAAATTCACATACACTCAGCATATACAGTACACAAATGCACATCACGCATACATTCATACATAAACACCACACACACACACACACATATATTCACCATCAGTAAAGCTAAATTTGTTTGTGACATACAGGATGCAGGTAATAGAGTTTAGAAATCAAACAAACAATGACTACTCACTGCTGAGGCAAGGACTGGTGTGGTGAGGTTGTCCCACAAATGCTTTGGGTAGAGTTCAGGATCTTCTATGAAACCCAATTTCTCTAAATGTTCCTGATCACATGTCATCTTTCCTTCCAGTTCCTCCTATGGAAAGGAAATTGATGCTAGGTAATTGGTTACAATTATATATAACAAACACACACACACACACACAAGAACAGACCCACACAAGAGGTGGTTTAGGAAACTGGAACATGCCAGAGAGGTGACAGGCAGATTGTTGACATGGATGAAAAATTTTCTAATTGAGAGATATGGGAGCAGCACTCAGAGGCAATGTATCAGACTGGGGAAGTGTTACTAGCAGAGTACCACAGGTTCAGTTCTTGCATCAGTAATGTTCATTGTCTATATAAACAATTTATCAGAAGGAATACAGAATATTATATGAACATGTCTGCGTATGATGCTAAGCTATTGGGGAAGATAAGAGACTTAAGACAACTGCCATACCCTTCAAGATATCCTGGGCAAATTATGTATATTCAACAACACTTGGCAAATGGAATAAAATGTGAATAAATGCTATGTTATGAAATGTGGTATAGGAGAAAATAGGCCACACACAACCTACAAATGATGTGGAAAGGCAAAATTGGAATAATGCAGCAGTTGTATGGTGCCCATATCACACATGGCATATCAATAAACTAGTGCGAACTGCATGTCTGCTAAATGTTGGAACAGTATTATCTCATACTCATCAGCTGCTATAATTTAGTGATGTTTACTAACAGCCTTGACCTAGATTTTGCTACACAAGGTAAAGTCTTGCATAAAGTTGAATCATGCATTAACAATACCTAAACTTCATATATTAACTACAGTAGCTATCTGAAACATTTAATTCTGCATATATACAAGACATTTGTTCCAGTCTCTTGTCATCTTCCTTTGCCCTCTTTTATAGTATGGTATATCAGGATTTACTGCATAAGCTGTTTCTAATAGAACATTGTCACTTTTATGAACTGAACTTGGATATTTACATTCTGGCGAGTCCTCAGTTGCCTCCCGTTCCTGCCCTGTTCCCTTCTTTCCTGTGGGATGGAGGGGTTGTTTAGAGAAACTCCTGAATGGGTAGGCACATTGGCTGGGGACTTAGATAACCTGGACTGCCATCTGGTGGTAGCCAGGCACCTTACAGTTAGGATGTTAATTCGGAGTAATGATCATTTGCCACGTTACCTCCGGGTACAGTACAACCTTGATTCGACGAACTATATGAGACTAACTCTTAATTTGTTGCAGTGAGGGATTCGATGCAACCGGAGATGCCTCCAGGATATATTTCCCATGCTCTATGGGCTAAGTTCACGTGGCAAAATAGTAATTTCAACCTACAGTGTAATAGAGAACTAACAAATGAATATTAACAAAAAACATTAACCACCTCTAGCTTATTTCTCACATCACCAGCTCAAAACTCATTTTCAAAAGGTAGCAGGGCCATACCTGAGTGAACGAAAACGTTGCCAACTCAAAATTAAAACAAACTATGGAATTTGGTTTTAAATACTGTATTGTCAATAGCTTTCCCAAGGCTCCACCTATTTTTTGTAATATTGAGTCCATCTAAAAAAAAATAAAATATATATATATAAAAAATGTGATTTGGAGCTATATTAAGAGTTACCATTCATGCTTAATACTGTACTGTATTTCGCATACTCCATGGGCTGATTTCACTGAAATTTTTGTTAATTTCAACCTGTTAAATGAAGGGAAACAACCAAGAGAACCTGTCCGTAAAAGAGATTTAACTACATCTAGCATATTTTCCACCCTAGCCTTGAAATCTCATTTTCAAAGGAAAAAGGACTCATATTAGTGAATAAAAACCTCTGCAACTGGCAATAAAGAACCATAGAATCTGATTTTAAATATGCTCAGTGACTTTTCCAAGGACCCAACTTTTTTTCTGTTGCCTCTATCTGTGAACTCGGTCCCAACATCCTAAGCAAATCCGTCAAGATTTGACTCTTGTTCATCAAATCGAGTTAGCAAATCTGGTATGGAAAATGTGTTCCAGCCAGAAATTCGCAGAATTGAGATTTGTTGAATGAAGGTTCAATGTACCTAATTTTCCTCTAGTTGCTCGTTTTCTTGCACTTGTGCTTTCTGGCGTTTTTATATTCTCGGTTTTGTTTGATTTCCGATTCCCGTGCTTCTCTCACTTTGTATTACACAGAATCTGGGAGCCAGATTCTGATTCTGGCTCCCAGTAGGCAAGGATGGGTGTCAAGAGGCTTGGTGCATCTCCCAAACGTTTGGCTGGACCTGCACCTCATGAAATACTATTGGGGCCCCTCCAAGAAAATCTATGCAAGTCTAAAATCAATTGATACTGTATAATTTCTAGCAGTAGATCACTGACCATTTTGAGCCTCCACTGCAAACTTGAGACATTTTGAAAAGAAAAACTTAATTTAATATAATCTCAACATGGTCTCCGTCATATCTATAATATACTGTACATCACCTTTATTTTTATTATGTCCCTTAATTCTAAGTGTTTGGAGGCCAAGTCATCTATATTTGTAGAAAATACTACAGGTATTAGAAAATTATTTACATAATTTTGGTAGTTCTGGCCTCTCCCATTTGAGTTATGATTACTGTCATATACTCCCTGGTGGGTTTCACTTTGAACCTTTTAACCAATTTCCTCAATCCTACCGACTTGTAGAAATTTTATTTTTTATTTTCCTCCATTCTGTATATTTTATTATTATTATTACAGTATTATTGTGATAATTTCACACCATAGCAAATCTTATATGAAGATCGAGTATAAATTACGTGTACAGTACTATACATACACCTAGATTATTTTCAAGATCATTCACCCATGAAGAAATATTATATACTGTATATGCCAATTAAATTATTTTATTCACGAAAATAACTCGCCTTTAGGTTATGTGAGACAATTGAATGGATAGCAGGACCTGCAGGGGGTGTGGATGTAATGGTTGTCACCACTACCACACACGCCACCACACACACACATCCTCCCAGCACCGATCGTAGTACTCGCATTTTAAACTCCAAACTGGTGCTGCTTCTCCATTGTCCCCTTGAAAGAGAGAGATACATTTTAAAAGACAAAATGTATTTGTTAAATATAATCATGAGAGATTTAAGTAGTTCTTGAAATTGATCATGTGGAAGACCATACTTAAGTTTGGAGAAGGGCAAGAGGCAATGTCACACTTGTAAACGATGCGAGAACTGGTAAAGAATAAAGCCGCAATTTTCCACAAAAGCTGGTGTTTATTCTTATCAGCTCTATTATAGTTTAAATACATTTTATATTAACCCTAAGTACTGTACATCAAATAAGTTTGCACTCTTGATTGTTGTAGAAAACACAACAAAAATTTAATCAGAAAAAACTTGAATTCAATTAATTTTCTAACAAAATTGTAGATCTGCATGTAACACTGTACAAGGAAAGTACCTAAAGAGAGAGCCATACATTTACCTTCCTGATGGTCTGGTACTCTTATGCATTACAGTATACAATAATTTGGTTGCTCCAGTTTCACCCTCAGACAACATTCTAATGATAGTATGCAGTACTATATACTGTACTGTACAATACTACCAGTTTTGCGGGCAGAAAGCCTGTTAGGATTAAAGCATTTGTACTAAGGTCCTCCTCGCCACAAAAGATGCTACACCCATTTTTCAGACACATAAGCGTTAATCAGTCTGGCTCACAGTATTCCCGCACCATATTTTAATTGCACATTAACGTAAGGTAAATTTGATTGTCTGTTTGTCTTGTTCATTTTGTATAGAGTACTTAGAATATAGCCAAGTTTTGAATATTTTTATTTTCATGTTAAGTATTTAAGTCATTTGTTTAAGTAAATTATTTTAAATGTTTTTCTCTTTTGTGCTTTATCCTACAGTCGTCATAGTGAAGATTCAACTTGCAGTCTAACTTTTTTTTCCTTTTTTTTTTTCATTTATATGATTGGCATTCCATCTGCTCTAGAGAAACTGCACGACGACCTATTTTTCTCGTCATAGGGGAAATAAACTACCATCTAGAGATAAATGAAGCAGAGCAGAGTGTCGATCCTCTGCCTAGTTGACGATCTCCTAGGAAACCACTGATGCTGGTACGTACAGGTTCCCCCATGCATTGTGCACTGCCCCAATGGCCTGTATCTAAATAGTGTACCACCTAATTGGCCAGTATTCATAAAAAGCAGCACCCCATTTGTATCTAAAAAATGCAGTTCCCCATTAGCCTGAATTCATGTATTCACATTTATGGGACAGAAATGGTTAGCCACATTTCCTATCACCTAGAAAATAGAAGGTGATTTCAACTTCTAGGTGATTTTCTATCACCTAGAAGATAGAAGAAAAAGAGGCGATATGATCAGTACGTATAAAATAGTAACAGGAATCTATAAAATTGATAGGGAAGAGTTCCTGAGACCTGGAACTTCAAGAACAAGAGGTCATAGATTTCAACTAACGAAACAAAGCTGCCGGAGAAATATAAGAAAATTCACTTTTGTAAACAGAGTGGTAGACGGTTGGAACAAGTTAAGTGAGAAGGTGGTGGAAGCCAAAACCGTCAGTAATTTCAAAGCGTTATATGAGAAAGAGTGCTGGGAAGATGGGACACCACGAGCATAGCTCTCATCCTGCACCTACACTTAGGTAATTACACTTAGGTAATTACCTGATGGCTCTGTTCACCTAGCAGTAAGTAGGTACTCAGGAGTTAGTCAGCTTGTCGTAGGGTTGCATTCTGGACGGGGGTGGCCTCAATATAAGCCTAACATGTATATACAGTACACTGGCTATCAGTGCCCCGACGCAATGATTATTTTTATTAATAATAAAATTCTGTAAGGCTCACATAACTCTGACTTGAGCTTTATTATATTTTACCTGGATTTTGGTAATTTGTGGAAGTCTTCTCTACTACCAATGGGTACCTAAGCACCAAAGAAAGGTACCAATGGGTACCTAAGAACCAAAGAAAGTTACCAATGGGTGCCTAAGTACCGAAGAAAGGTACCAATGGGTGCCTAAGTACCAAAGAAAGGTACCAATGGGTGCCTAAGTACCAAAGAAAGGTACCAATGGGTGCCTAAGTACCGAAGAAAGGTACCAATGGGTGCCTAAGTACCAAAGAAAGGTACCAATGGGTGCCTAAGTACCAAAGAAAGGTACCAATGGGTGCCTAAGTACCAAAGAAAGGTACCAATGGGTGCCTAAGTACCAAAGAAAGGTACCAATGGGTGCCTAAGTACCAAAGAAAGGTAACATGGGTGCCTAAGTACCAAAGAAAGGTACCAATGGGTATCTAAGCACCAATGGGTACCTAAGCACCAAAGAAAGGTACCAAGCGGGCATGACTGAACTAATGGATGCCTAGTAAATACAAAACCGTTTCTTCACATGAAAAGTACACCTCCACGTAGAGGAAGAACTCACATATACCTTCTAACAAAATATATTTACATTTCTAACAATGACATTCTTGAAAACTAAATATATATATAACATAGCCCAACAAACCCAATGTATTGTTAATCATGTATAAACTACACATTCAAACATTCATTTACGTATCTTATTTGGGCAGTAAATCAAAGATAAAAATAAAAAAATGCTTCGGGTTGACAATTGTAGACAAATAAAACCTCCACAGCCAAGAGGAACACATCATCCATACTTACAAAAATAATGAAGTGAAAAGAAGGAAGAAGTATGAAAAAGGTAAACAATTATAATGAGAGGAGTGACTGCAGCCGACGCCGCCCCTGCGTCATGGGTGGCGCCGCCGCCGCCGCCCTCGTGCACCAGCTCCCACACTTATTGTACCCCGACAACACTTCTATACACTAACTTCTCGAACTACCTCATTCCGGACTGTAACTACCTCATCCAGAGTCTAACTACCTCATTCAGACTCTAACTACCTCATACAGACTCTAACCACCTCATACAGACTCTAACTACCTCATTCAGACTCTAACTACCTCATTCAGAATCTAACTATCTCATTCAGAGTCTAACTACCTCATCCAGAGTCTAACTACCTCATTCAGAGTCTAACTACCTCATTCCGGACTGTAACTACCTCATCAAGAGTCTAACTACCTCATCCAGAGTCTAAATAGCTCATGCAGACTCTAACTACCTCATTCAGACTCTAACTACCTCATACAGACTCTAACTATCTCATACAGACTCTAACTACCTCATCCAGACTCTAACCACCTCATACAGACTCTACCTCATCCAGATTCTAACTACCTCATCCAGATTCTAACTACCTCATCCAGATTCTAACTGCCTCATCCAGACTTAACTACCTCGTCCAGACTATAACTACCTCATCCAGAGTCTAACTACCTCATACAGGCTCTAACTACCTCATACAGGCTCTAACTACCTCATACAGACTCTAACTACCTCATCCAGAGTCTAACTACCTCATACAGGCTCTAACTACCTCATACAGACTCTAACTACCTCATACAGGCTCTAACTACCTCATACAGACTCTAACTACCTCATACAGACTCTAACTACCTCATACAGACTCTAACTACCTCATCCAGAGTCTAACTACCTCATATAGGCTCTAACTACCTCATACAGGCTCTAACTACCTCATACAGACTCTAACTACCTCATACAGACTCTAACTACCTCATCCAGACTCTAACTACCTCATCCAGACGCTAACTACCTCATCCAGACGCTAACTACCTCATCCAGACGCTAACTACCTCATCCAGACGCTAACTACCTCATCCAGACTCTAAGTTAGCTAAATGTGCCTCTGTAACTCTTTCCATTACCGAGCACGGGATGGTAAAATAAATGAATGGGTGAATAATAAATATGAACTAAACAAAACTCACACCAATCTCTATATACGAGTAATAATAATAATAATAATAATAATAATAATAATAATTGATTCATAATAGATGCATACAAAGTGTATACGAAAAAATAAATTGTATGTATACGTGGGAAGGATTTATCAAGGCAAAGCGTTGTTGTTGTTGTTATAGATTCAGCTACTCGGAACAAGTTCCAAGCAGCACGGGCTATGGCGAGCCCGTAACTTACCTGGCACAGGAGCAGGGCAAGTAGCACGGGCTATGGTTAGCCTCGGACAAAGCGCCAAGCCATTACGACTATATAGCACTGGGAAGGGTTCAGGCAAAGGATTTGGGATGGGACGGAGGTAAGGAATGGTGCCCAACCACTTGTGGACGGTCGGGGATTGAACGCCGACCTGCATGAAGCGAGACCGTCGCTCTACCGTCCAGCCAAAGTGGACGGTATAGGAGATGCACATTAAATGAAGCAATTACTATGCAAAGCGTTTCGGACAGAACTTTCAGTAATTGAGAGAAAAATTATTAATGGGTGTAGTGGGGTAAACACGTAATATTAAGTGAAAAGTAAATTAACATATGTGAGATGTTGCAGAAAAATAACAAATTATATATAATGTAAAAGTAATAATTACGAGTTTTCTTCTACATGAAGGCGGCAGAGGCGCTTCCTACACTAGAAAAGGAAAAACTAAACAAAGCAGAAAAGGGAAGAGAAATGCGATAAGAAATATATATGAAATAAGACAGAACCAAAATAGAGACATAGAAAGAACAGTAGAGATAAAAGGAGAGCACAGAGGGGAAGACAGATAATATACCTTTAAGAGAGAATGTGTTGAAGTTACTCCCGCCGTTTGCCCGCACACCATTCCAATTATTTAATAATTACAATTCATTTAGTCGGCGGATATATAGCCAGTATATACATACAGTACATGTTAGGCTTATATCGAGATCCTCGCCCAGGGTCGAATTACTGACTCTGGATGGGAGGGGGGGGGAACTTGCAGGATGCAACCCGACAACAAGCTGACTAACTCCTGGGTACCTATTTACTGCTTGGTGAACAGACCATTAGGTGAAAAAACTTGACCAACTATTTCTGTCTTGCCCGGAATTCGAACCCATAATTCTCGATTGAGTCGATAACGAGCCCGATTGTACTACCGGAACCCGGGAAATTACAGTTTGTTTTTTCCACAATGTAGGACTGAGAACAGATGTTTTTTTCACCCACATGGTAATTAACCCATGGAACCGCTTACCCGCTGATACCGTAAAGGCCAAAACTCTGAGAGCCCTAACTTTTAAAGTACAGCTGGAAAGGATCATCAAGGCAAATGGGGGACCTTCGACAAGCTGCCGGCTTCCTGTCCTCGTCGAGGACACTAGTGATCGCAGTCCTCAGGTAAACTCAGGCTAGAGAATGGAAGCCAGACAGGGAAGTAGGGGGGGGGGTGAAGATGGGAGATGGGGAGGGAGGGGAGAGAGGTGGGGAGAAAAGTGAAAAAAGGGGGAAGAAGAGGAGGAGGGAAGAGGGGGTGAAAGATATATATATAATAAAACAAAAGTTAAAAAGGTTTAATTAACCTGAAGGTTAATATACGAAACGAAACGGCAGGAAATTATTTGCTAAGGATCATTATCGTACGCCGGGATGCTGTTGCTCTCTAATGCCTGACCAAAACAAGACCGGTGTCCAAGCGACGGCCCCCTCCACCGTCCCCAGGAAATTTACCTGAAATTACATGAATTTATCTGAGGGGGTCACTATCTCTCTAGTGGCCTCGATGGGGACAGGAAGCTAGCGGCTTTTCAAAGATTTGTCCTTATGTTTTTATCCAGTTTGTTTTTTTGAGTCTAAAAGCTTTGTTCATTTATTATGCACCCCATACCCATCTTGTGGGCGGTAGTGGAAAGTCTAAAAGCAAGAATTATTTCATAATTATATAATTTTATTATTAATAATTACGAGGAGAAAAATCTGGAGGTTACCATATTCATTGATAAATATGGTAAATAATGTATTCGTGCTCCGACAGCAGTAATATATCATCCATATATGTTTGGCTCCAGTTGGATTCACCGAGCTGTTATGAGAGTCTGTTGTCATCTTGCGCACTCCCACCTGTTCAAAAATTGTCAAATTAAATTTATATTTGTATTGAGGCAGATATTTTCTCTCCTGATTCCATGTATGACTAACCATTCTGTAAGATGGGAAATATTAGATGAGCTTATAGCTAGTTTTTTTTATCTAATCTGTGTAATCTTTCATACATAATAGAGTACCAGCACATTGCTGAGCTAGTTAATAAAAAGCTTGATAATAAAATAATAATAATAAATGTGGTTTTAATAAAAATAAATATTCAAAAATTGTAAACACTATTAGGCGTTCCCCAGCAGCTGCAACATGGCGAAGGGTAAGCTCTCGGTTCTTCCAGTATATTTGGCTCCCAAATTAGACCAGTAACATCAGAAATTGTTGCATATATTGTAATGAGAATGGCTGGAGTGGCAAGAAGCGTGCCAGGAATGCTAAGACTCGGCTCTCGCTACACCGTGGAAGCTGTTACCATGCAACTATTGCACATTAGCTGCTTGTTGAAGAGAGAGCACAAGTGTTGCAGACCAACGCTAAGCTGAGAGATACACACACACACACAGCTATTGGTAATGGACATTCAGTACTACTCATAGGAGACATATTTGATGTTGATGATTTGTAAATAGTTTGGACACCCTATGTTATTCTCACACTGTTGAACAGTCAACGGGCTGCTCCACAGCAGGCTGTAAGCTTACAGGAGCAATACGTGTACACAAACTTGGTACAGGAGCAATACGTGTACACAAACTTGGTACAGGAGCAATACGTGTACACAAAATTGGTACAGGAGCAATACGTGTACACAAACTTGGTACAGGAGCATTACGTGTACACAAACTTGGTACAGGAGCATTACGTGTACACAAACTTGGTACAGGAGCATTACGTGTACACAAACTTGGTACAGGAGCATTACGTGTACACAAACTGGGTACAGGAGCAATAAGTGTACACAAACTTGGTACAGGAGAAATACATGTACACAAACAATTAACCAGCCGCTTGGTGTAGGACCAAGCAGCTGATTAATTGACCTCGACACCCACAAGATTTACCTGTTTTTTTTTACCTGTTCTATCACTGAGGAGTTGTAATTGTGATCTTATATCATGCGAGATCACATGTCCTGTCTCGGTAGCATCTCACAGCTACCTACCGTCCATCCCAGTTATCTTGTAGAACAATTATACTGTTATTCAAGATTATGTGATTATCTTTTGACCGTGTGTAGCTAATTTTGTTTAACATGTGTAGATATTTACCTGAATTTATCTTTGTAAATATTGTGTACTTTAGTATATTTTTTGTAACATTCAGTTATCTTCTGAACATGTGTGGTTATCTTTTGTTCATGTGTGATTATTTATGATCATGTGTAGTTATATTTTGAATATATGTAGGTATCTTGTACATGTGTGTAGTTATTTTTCGAATATGTACAGCCCTTCTGAACATGTGTAGATATTTTTGTAAAATATAATTATCTTTTCAACATGTGCAGTTATTTTTTAGCAATGCCGTTATCCTTTGAACTAGTAGTTATCTGCTGAATATTGTATTTATCTTTTGAACACGTGCAATTATGTTTTGAACATATGTAGTTATCTCTTTAGAATGTATAATTATATTTTGAACATATCTCCACATATGGTTATCTTTCGAACATACTCAATTACCTTTTGAAAATATGTAGTTTTCTTTAATACATATTAAATTTTCTTTTGAACAATTGTGCTATTTTTGTACATGTCTTTTGAATATGTGTATCTATCATTTGAATAGGTGTAGCTTTCTTTTGGACATGTGTCAATATCTTT